TAATAATAATAATAATAATAATAATAATAATAATAATAATAATAATAATAATAATAATAATAATAATAATAATAATAATAATAATAATAATAATAATCATTCTCTATCATCTTCTCCAACGTTAAAGGGTCTTCTGTTATCTAGAGTCCAAACATGGTCGATAGACAGACAAGAAGACTGCTAGTGAAATCAACATCATTGATATCAAGATCATTTTTTCTATCTCTTAAATATATGAAATGACCAATTTAGCCCCAATCGGCAATAGAAAGCTCCAGAACCACACAACTCTGCAATCGGGAAACATGTGGGAATCGACACCACCTCTCATGAATCAGGGTATACTTTTTCGTTCCTTCTGTCTGATTCATTCGCTATGTTCCAATTTCTTTTGTGTCTACAAATGTGTGTATGTGTTTTGTTTTGCGTATTGTTAAGCCCAAACAGTTTTTTTTCATATGTTTTTTAACCCTAACCCTAACACAACATTGCATTCCTAATTTTGTTTGGCTGATGGATACAATTTCGGAGATCGAATGTTGTAGGCAATTAGGTTTGTGATATTGAACGAAAAAAATCACCAGTCCTGCTTGCGTAGTTGCACAACAATTTCTCCACAATTTGACCGTCAACAAAGGTATGGTCCATCACCCCTTGATGTTACGTTTTCAAACAATTGTTGTGTGAAAACTTTTGACACTGCAAAATTACATGCATTTTAAATTTCAAAATGAGTTATATTGTTTTGAATTGAAATTTGATGGCCAATTTTACTCTCGAGCCATAATACATGGAAACAGTATTCCCTAATTATGAATGCAATAATGTCATTATGGGTTAATGTTTAGAGGGTCTAATGTTTTTTTTTTTTTTTACATTGAATTGAAGTTGGAATTTTCGATGACAACAATGACTTGATTAAAAATAAGATTTCTCGGTAAGTTCATGTATTTGTGTAAATACATAAATAATTTATTAATGTTTTTTTTAGGCCTAATTGCCGGTAAAACCACGACCTTACAACTTTTTGCCGTTTTAACCAAACTTTTGAAATTTGACAAACATAGCACTACTTTGACTATTTTTTGGCAATTCGAATCACAGGGCTCAATCTCGGGCCTTTTCTGTTGGGGTGGCTACATACGTGGCAATTTCTGCCGACGTGGCGCTTCTATGCTGAAATGGTTGCTAGCGTGGAAATGAAAAATTTATGGGGTTCGAACTTGGGACCTCCAAGTTGTATGTCAACATTATAACCACTACACCAATATAAGTTGTGTGTTAAATTTAGTAGCGCGTTATATATATAGACCTAGGTATGAATAAATCAAATTAAATTTAAAAGTTAATATAATTTTAAATTATAATAATAAGATATAAACTTATAATAATTAAAATATAATAAAATAAATAATATAATACTGAATTAAAAAAATAAACTAAAATAAGTAAGATAAAATTTATTATAGTAGACTGAATTTAAATAAAAAAATTTAAATAAATTTATATATTTCTTATTCATTAAACTAAATTGATTATATAAATCTGGAAATAAAAAATAATAATGATAAAATTAAATTAATAAATAAAATGTATTAAGTTACACCGGTTAAAATAAAATAAAAATAATATAAAATAAGATAATAAAGTATAAAAAATGGCAAAATGAAATAAAGAAACTAATATAATAAATCATATTAAATAAAAATTTAAAATAAATAAAAATATTAAATTATTACTATTTGAATATAGTAAGTTAATAAATTATTTATATTATATTTTAATATAATAATTTAATAAACTATTAATTATAATAATCTCAAATAATATATCTTTATTTCATTATATTCATTTAAGATTTTTGTTTATTTTCATTTATTATTTCAATTGAATTATTATTTGATTTCATTTATTTTACTTTTTACATTTTTTATACTTTATTATCTTATATTGGATTATTTTTATCTTATTTTAACCAGTGTACTTCAATCTAGTTTATTTATTAATTTAATTTAGTCATTATTATTTTTCATTTACAAATTTACATAATTAATTTTATTTTAATAAATAAGAAATATATAAATTTATATAAATTTAATTTAATTTAAATGCACTCTACTATGATAATTTTTTTCTTACTTTATTTTTGTTTATTTTTTATTTAATATTATATATTTTATTTTATACTATTTTACTTATTATAAGTTTATATCTTATTAATATAATTGAAAATTCATATTAACTTTTCAATTAAGTTGATTTTTACATACCTAGTGTCTATATATATTAAGCGCTACAAAATTTAACACAACACTTATATTGTGCAGTGGTTATAATGCCCATTTACAACTTGGAGGTCCCAAGTTCAAACCCCATCTTTGCATAAACTTTTTACCGCCACGTCAGCATAAGATTGCCTTGTCAACAACCACATAAGATTGCCACGTCAGTAGGAATCACCACGTCTGTAGCCACGTCAGCAGACAAAGTAGA